CTCAGTCGGTGGGCACAGCGAGCTCTTGTTTGCTTCTCCGTTTCCTCCGGAGATGCTCCATTTCCACCCCCACCCTGGAGGGGTTGGCGAGCCTGGTTGGAAGGGGACGCGGTGGCATTGAAAGGGGGGGGACGTGTTCGCCTTCAAGGTGCCCCCTCCCCAAATAGACCTTCAGCCTTTCACCTAAATGGGAAACCGACCAGCGGGCCGCGTCAGGTGGGGATGAGGGGCCTTGTAGTTCTACACATTCAGAAGGCACCTCCTTGGAGAAGACAGGTGGAAGAAGATCTGCCGCCATTTGTACCTTTAGACTTCGCTACTAGCCAAGAAACGCTTCCTTTTTTTGTCAGATCGAAATAGATTCGGCCGTGCCTTTAGTAGTAATAATCTCCTGGGTTCGGCCCTTTGTCTTCGTTACAAGAATTCACAGTACTGCTTATCTCTCGGGCATACCCCGTGGGAAAGAAAGGCACTGCCCTTCGAGGTGGAGGTGGGAAAACTGAGCACCTTCTGACGCCCGCCAGACCCGAACAGTGTCTTGGAACTCTTCGTCTGTGTTCCCACGACTATTCGTGGTTAATTTAACCCTGATTTCCTCAGCGCAAGTCTCTGGATTCACACAACACGCTAGAATAAAATGTGCCAGGCTACTTCGGGCTGGGTCGTGCAAACAGAGCCTCTGTATCCAAGCCGCTGCGGGTTCAAGCCCTTGGAGATGGGGAGGGGAGCACCCAAAATACTGCTTCTGGATGGTGGTTTCCCAGGCCCGAAGACCGATTCACTTGGGAGACTCAAAGCGCCCAGAGCCCGCTGACTCTTTGTTTAGCCTCAGCCTCAAGTTTCCTGCTGGCCAGCCAGGGAGGCAGGAAAGAAGGCAAAGGTAATTAGCCGCCGCCTGCTGGTGATGTAATGCCTGCAAACGGGATTGGGGAACGTTCCTGCGTCTCGGGCGCTGCGCTGATAGGCTTGGAGAGCAGGGCTGGAAAACGGGCCCCGGCTTGGAGGAAGCCAAG